ATCATTAGGAATTTATTGAATTTAATGGGTTTTCCGGAATAATTGCAGTCGTCGTCCAAAATAATGCAATCGAGTGAAGCATACAAAACCTAAGTAAGTATATTTTGATTAAACCATTTAAATGATAAATTAAACTGTGATTTAAGCAATATTACGGAAAAGCACCTTTTAGTCTAGTTAGTTTTTTCAAATTTTTCATTTAACGCCTGACATACGATTTTTGTTGAAAATAAAAACACTATTCAATAATAATTAAATAAAATAAATTAATAATATAAATTGATTATGAGAGGTTATTTTATGCAAATAACATTTGAATTGCTTTAAATATTTACAGGACAAATATTATATATTATTTATGCAATTATAATATAGTATAATATTAATGTATACAATAATACTAGGAAAAAGTGGCGTGTTGCAATTTAATTTACACTTATCTATAATAAGATATTATTTTCATATAATTTGCAATTAAGCAATGTGATGCTACAAAATAAATGATATTTTTATGTAAATTGTTAATAAAATAATATTAAAATTTCCTAAAGTTTTATTTAAATATTACAGTATATTCTCAATCAATGAATTTAATAATTTTAGACAAATATAATTCAATAGCACATTAGGTTAATATTTCATGAAATTTTATTAAAGGTTAGCATACTAATTATTTTATAAATTAAAAAAATTATAAAGGAACATTTATTTAAATTACTATGGTTTTTATAAATGGTTTATATTGTATTTTAATTTTATATTTAAGGAAACGCAAAAATCCAATAATTTTATATTTCTGTAAAAAATATGTAATTATACAAAAATATTGATTTATAAAAATAACTCACATTTACGTATATTCTTGGTTATCACTACAGTTTAAAATAACTTATAAATATACTGTACTTTAAAATTACTTATAGCAAAACATAAATGTTTCAGTATAGTTATTAATTAATTTATAAATAATATAAATAAATCACATATTCTTATATTACTCATTTTATTATATTATTGATTTTTATATGATCAAACATATTTATAAATTAAGAGCAATAAGTTTTGATTAATTTTATGAATAAATATGACATTATTCACTGGTTTTTTAATTGTATTAATTTATTTTATTTATTTCTTCAAATTCAGTAAAATAATAGACTTATCTTGAAATGTTTGAATCAATTTAAAGGGGTAAGGGAAAATATTTTATCAAACTCTATAAAAAAATTTATTACTTAATTCTTGTATTTGATGAATATTTTATAAGAATATACTGAAAATTATAAAATATACTTATAAATATACTCATTAATTATAACCGATACACAACTTTATCTGAATTGAGTTCAATTACATTCAAGTTTTGGACGGTTTGGGCGTCGAGTATAGGAAATGTATTTTTAGAGATATCTTCAGAAACATTATTATTATTATTATTTTCAAGATTTGTTGAGTTTTTATCCGTTTCTTCGTTAGACACGGCTTTGGGTTTTGTTTGGGGTTTAATCAACGCCTGAGTCATTGCGGCGAAGGGTCGCGACACCAGAAAGCCTGCCATTACTGCCAACACATAGGAGGCCACGAAGTCGGCGATGGCTGAAGACCACTATATTTAAGGTATTTATGAATTTGGATTCAAAGAGCTTTAACTAAAATGACTTACGATATAGTATTCATTATATGTACGAAGTTCTCGCTGAACACCAATTCTGTACACAAACACAAATGTATGCATCTGTTTGGATAAATGTGTTTATAATTAAAAGGAATTGTTTTTTGGACATTAATTATATTTAGCATACAATATAGATCTCGAGTGACATGTTATCGACTACTTTAAACCCTTTCCAACCAATTATATCATTTAGAAAACCTAAGAATTATATACTTTTGTTATAATTATATTCAAAATAAGTTCCAAAATAGTAATTCAAACCCCATCTGCCAGTAGACGTTCCGTATATAAGCCATGCAAACCACGATAGATATAATGGTTTATGAAAAAATAGATAGAGATATTGTTCGTATGGGCCATATTGAAAACCGGGCATGATCATATCCTTTTGCCAATACATATGACCCAATGTTATCAAGAAAGTGGTGAACCAAATGATCACATGACCTATAGGTCCGCCTAAATATGCTTTCGGATGATATCTGACAGCGTAGGCCAATAACATGCCTATGATTTGGGTTTGAATGTAGTTAAGAGGCCCCCAATAGTGGGTTCCCCAGCCCAACATCAATTGTTTGGCATTTTGGTGATTTAGTATCTCATATACGTGTAGGTCTCCCATCACAAACCGATTGAACGGGGGTATTACGATTCCTATTACCAGTAACATTAATAGCCAGTACACACCTTTCCGGCCTAATTTATAAAGCACTAGAAAAGCTATGGGTGCCATTGCGTACAATTGAAAATCCATTGATGAATACCTTGATATAAATAATAATGGCATATTAATAA